AAATATCACCACTAATAAATCCATCATAAATCCTACAAATAACCCAAGTTTTGGATATAATATTGGAACTAGAAAACAATTGCTAATGATCCACCACCCCGAAGTAGATCAGGATCGAAAGAGATAGGATTCAGGTTGAGAAGGACGCGTGTCCACTATCGCTATACATAACGCAGATGCGAGGAATCCTTCTGACGAACTGCACAAGGAAAGACGCATTTCAGGGTATTTTTGAAAGCTTCGCGGAATCTCGATTGAAATAAGCGTAGATCAGTGGGTTGAGTGCAGAGTTAAAGTATCCAATCCAAAATAGTGTCGCCACCACCACATCAGGACACGGACACGAATCTCCGCAGAGGGTCGTGATCACGTACCTGGGCAAAAAAATTAGCAATTAGGTAAATGATAATTGCAAATCTTTCTTTGAAGAAGACCTTAAATGCTACAAAATAACTTCAACTCTTTTAGAAAGTTAATTAATATTTGTAATAACAAGATTTCACTTTTCAATAGCTATTGTGCTCGTGGGTTTGTTATTTCTTATATCTTTCTGACCAGTTTGCAAATTTTCTCTCAAGATTCCCTCAAGCGCACCCCCTTTCAATTCAGTCTACTCTGTCTTCATAAATTATCGCAGACGGTGTATTGAAGTTGACTGAAAGCCTTTCACACATTGTTTCATCGTTGTACGGAATCCCCAGAACACCTCGAGAGACCAGAGAGAGATTGGAACACCTCCAAACGCCCCCCTTGGGGGAATGGGTTATTAACTTAGAATAGATATACCGAAGCGCATATATATACAATAAATTTGTCGATGTAAACATACAAACACACACACACACACATATATATATATATAATTATTAATTAATACTAGTTATAAGCCTTACCACAAAAAGAATGGCAGCCAACAAATAAGAAAAACTCCCATAATAATTCCTAAAGTACGAGCTGCTTTGTGCTCAGCTCTCCAACTTTTTGGAGGTCTATGAGCCGTCGAAGAACCTGCAAAATAACAATGTTTTAAGATATATATATATATATATATATATATATATATAATACATTTAATACTACCAGTCTATATATAAATAGAAATAAATAAATAAAAAGTAGCATATTAAATTAAATCCGCGGTTCGCCGTCTACTATATTCAATGTTTGACGAAAGGATCGAAAATATTTGCACAAATTATCATTCCGAGCGATTGTTTGCACGCGAAATGCAAACAGACTCGGATCACGACAGATTCGTACGTGTTAATTACAAAATTTACAGGGAATATCTATATAGTGACCCGGTTCGATTATTTTAGATTGGAAATACAGGTACGCTGAAGGCAGGTTCCGTACAAACATAGGTTTTGTTATAGTGTGATTAGAATTTTTATAATAATAAAATAATTTAAAACAAGTCTCTCAGTATTTTATATATACAAATTATAGTTTTGTGCTATAAATAGGATCTGAGAACTGACGCATAAACAACAAGGTGCACCACCTAAATGCAGAACCCTTGTAATAAACAAGTCAATAAATCCTACCAAATAGTATTGCTTAGTATTTTTATAATTTCAAGATTCTAGGATATACGAGCGAAATATACACGCAGAAACAGTAGTAAATATGCAAAAACTTGTTTAATAGAATTTTGTTTTATTACTGACTGATGTAGGTTAGTAATTTTACAATTTAAAACAAGGGTCTGGATACAACATACCCAAATAACAGCCTTCTACAACAAACAAATTCTGAGAACAAAATATTCAAATGATAAAGAGCGCTTTTTATAATTTTGCAAACTTCCTACGCTTTTATATTTTTGCGCTCAGTTAACAAAAAGCACTATTTTTTAGTAAATATTATCTATATAAAGTGCTCCACAAAAATTATCTCAATCTAACAATAAGAAAAGCTACATCCGCAAAATCAATAAAATACGACTGTTTTTTCATGAACAATTTTTAAACGAGATTTTTAAGTATGCCAAGTTGTTCTAATACCAATTAATGTAAGACAATATAAAAATTATTTAATTTAGTACAAACTCTCTCAAAAAACTATTAATATCAAATGAAAGGTTTGAAAGTTACAAAAGCTATTACAAATCAGGAAAGCGCTCAAATTATTTCTTCATTTTCTGGACCGACTTTAAAGCACACAGGTTGACGCATGCCCAAAAAATAATGTGAAATATCATTGTATCGCCCGTCAATATTTTACACCTCAAAACGCTGATTAATAAATTACGTAGAATTATCTTGAAGTCATTTTTCTAATCATTTGATAAGAGAAATCGCAAAGATAAGACTCCGATAGAATGTCAGTTGCGAATCGAATCTATTGACTTATCCGTCTGCGGATGTTGTCACAACAACAAATGCAACAAATACTCCAAAATTCCATTTACAATCATATCAGTTGCAATTTCTATGGTTTCAGAAGCAAGTAATGTCAATAAAAAGTGTAAAATGTTATTCACATTCATGGTTGTTGTGATTCTGGCGGTAACTGGTGTTAATAGTGAGTGTAAACAAAGTAAATTAAAACACGAGTGTTGGAATGTTAATTTAGTGGATTGGTTAGTGATTAAAAATCCCCAAAGTGTCAACAAATTAGATCTGAAAGACAGCCAATTAGCGGAGCTGCCCAGATACTTGCCAGAATCAAACGAAGAACTATTTATCAACTACACCAATTTGGCTGTTTTAAATTTTACACGTTGCAATATACGAACAATTGAAAAAAGTGTGTTTGCCAATGTGAAAAAGTTGACAACATTGATGATTACACAAAATCTTCTAAACGAAGTACCGGATTTGCATCCAAAACTGATATTCCTTGATTTGTCCTACAATCAAATCGAGCTAGGATTGGACAAGTTGCAGTGGTTGGAGGGTTTGCAAGATTTGTATATGCACCACAATCAGATCCACGATATACAGTACGACTTTAGTGATTTAACAAAACTACGAGCATTGGATTTGAGTTGGAACCAATTTACGACGCTCCCTGAAAATTTTTTTCGTGGTCCCAACGGCTCTGATGCACATACTAAAGAGTACAAATTAATAAAACTGAACTTACAAAACAACAAATTAACATCAATACGCGGTGACGATCTTGCCAGTTTAGGGAATTTGAAATATCTACACTTGGGCAACAATGAGATTGAAACCCTGGTGTTTAATGCTTTTGGCACCAATCACGTTTTAGAGATGGTAAGTTTAGCCAACAACAAACTTACGACCGTACATCCAGAATTGTTTAGAAACAAATCTAATTTAAAACGTTTGATTTTATCAGGAAACATGATAAAAACTTTGAACCAAGATGTATTTTTAACATCAACAGGTTTATCATATTTAGACTTATCATCTAACGAAATTTCTTTAATTGACGACCAAATTTTTGCAAATTTGATGAATTTGGAATACTTATTGATAGCGCGTAATAACATCTCTAATGTAAACTTGTTGTTCTGGCCTTTAAGCAAAATTAAATACATAGACGCCTCCGGAAATATCATCAGCAGCGATTTGGATTGTACCAATGCCTAAAATTAAACACCTTGAAGCTGAACGATAATTTGATATCACATATCGCAATTAAATTGAACGATGGTTTTATCAGCATCGATTTATCTGGTAACAAGATAGAAAATTTGAACAAAATCACAATCAGATTTGGTAAACGTGGGTATATCAATTTGGACTTAACTAATAATGATATTAAAGAGTTTGAAGTTGACGAGTTTCTTGAAGTTAATCAGCACATCCAACATGTAGCTTTAGACGCGAGCTTATCAGAAGACTTTTCATCTAAATTAGCAAACTACAAAAGTACGTTTTGGACTATCAAGAAAAACACTACATCTATAACGCAAGAAATTCCGGGAACTTTAGCAACCACTCCAGAGCCATTGACAACGGAAGACGTAACACCAACTCCTGATAAACCCAAACCTCCTGAATTGACAACTGAAGAGTTACCAACAACTCCTGATAAACCAATAGTTCCGGAATCGACAACAGAAGACGTACCAACAACTCCGATACCTATGATCAACCAGCGATATACTTTCCTGGAGCTTCTGTATTGTTGTTTCGGAACTTTTGTGGTCACAACGTTGCTCGTCGGCGGAAGTGTCTGTTTGTACAACTGTAGAGTGCAGAAGAATATGAAAATGTTGCACGAATATGAGTTGGAAACCAGGGGATATAAAGGCAGCAATTATGAAAACATTCCAAGTGAGTAAACTTACATATAAATAATAATAAATGGTAGTCTGCCCGAAGGCAGGTCCAGGGTGTGAGAGCCACCACAACAAATGATTTCCTTGCCCTTCATCCCATTACCACTATTCTCTATCCCCATTTTTTTATTTCATGTATTTTCCTTTCCAAACTTTTGTTTCCATGCTTCTTGATCATGTGCTTCGGCTTTCAGTTCCCTGTATTTTCTCTTCTCGCGTAAGTCGTCAATCGTCTGCGTTCTTCTTCTTCCCATTCCTTTTGTTCCTTCTATTTTACCTTCGACGACGTCGTGTAGGAGGCACTCTTTTTGCAAAAGAGGTCCGTTCCAGTTTCCTTTCCTTCTCAGAATTGTGCTCAGTAGAGTCCTTTCTTCGCCCACTCTTCTCAGGACTTCTTCATTTGTTACTTTGCCTGTCCACTATACTTTACTAAACTTACACACTATATATGCACATCATATATATACATATACTGATTGATATGAAAGATGTGTTTGAAATATTTGTACAAAATTAAATTGTTTTTAAACCGGTATATTCTAAAATCACAGTGGAAAACTAAAAATGTTTCTATAAACATTTTTCAACAAAGCGTTTTATAAGTGCTATGTTATTAATTAACTTCCAAGAAATTTTATTGCTTCTCAATAAAAGCAAAATAAAGCATTATTTTATGCTTATATGGTGTTTTCTAAGAAATACTATTATAAATAGTACACAGGTGTTAGTGTGAGATATTACAAATAATGTTTGATTAGTCAAATATCACACACTGTGTAAATAAATGATAAGATTTTTTGGAACCGAAATGTGTCAATAAGAAAATTATATTTATTTGAATTTCTGATAAACCGTTTATACCACAAACTTATAATAATTTTGTCATACTCAAGGGCTTATTGTTGAAACAAATACCAATTTATGAAGAAAGAATTTTACTAAATTTGGCATTAACTGTCTCCCTGTACAAATTTTAATTAACACGACGAGGAAATCTACTGTTTTTTGAGGACCTTTATAGGACGCACCGTTTAAATTAAAATCTTCAAATTCGAGTATTCTCAAAGTACTTATCACAATGGAAAATACTTTACACAAAATTAATGCAAAATATTTTTTGTTATAAATTTTTTATAAAACACTATACTTTATTGTGCATAAAACTTTCATTCAATATGCTCGTTCACGGTTATTTTCGGGGAGCTCTACAGAATTTCTACTACAATCTTCAAATTTTAGTATTTTATCCCTCAAAGTATGTATTGTATTAGAACATATTAATAATGATATGTTTTCGAACAAAATTTTGAATTAAGAAGAAGTTATCAGACACGATCAGAAAATCAGTAGTTTTAAATAACTTATTTAATGTAACTCAATATTAAAACAAATAACGCTAATATTGATGGGTTTTCTAACGAAATTTGAAGACATAACTCTTTTGATCAAAATAGCATTATTTTGATAAACATGGTACATTTTGTGCAAGGACGAATATATAGTCAGGTGATAATTTTAACGAGCTCTACAGGACGCACCATTAACACTACAATTATTTAATTTAAGTATGTTATATCTCTAAGTGTCTATTATAACTATTAATACTAATATTAATTGATTAATATAGTAGTAAACAGTAATCAGGTAACATTTTTATTAGGTATTACCATATTATCTACTTGTACAACAAATTTGTAATTTGAGTACGTGATATCTCAAAGTATCTTATCAAAATTCATGGATTTTATGATAACATTTTGAGTTATGAGTATGTTTTCAAAATGTTTCTCGTAAATGTTTTGTTTTTATTGTACTCTTATTTTTTATTAGATTTAATGCCAAATATTTATCTTATATATATACATAAATATATATTTTATGTGTGTGTGTGAGTTTGGGGTGTGAGAAGGTGTTTTTATGTCTTGTTTTCCCTCGGGATCCCTTTTCTTATGTTTTCTTGTCCTAAAGCGTCGAAATTGATGAGAACACGGATAAACTTACGAACTGCAATAAACAATAAAAGACAAATGATATCAAATTCGATATATCAGAATGAAGTATAAGTATAAGGTATAAGGTATAACCCTGAGGAGGCGGAGGATATGAAGAATAAGTCTCCCCTCGAGCCCCCTAAGGCTTATATTTCGTTTCGAGCCGAGAAAACAATCTAATAAATGGAAAGGAGAACCGATGCCGAGGCGCCGAGAAGTCTGGGCAGACAGAGGCAATTCTTATAGTTCTCTTGGATTATTATTCGGAATTTCGTTAGAAAACACATCAATTTTATTATTTGTTATCTAAATAGATACTTTGATTAATAGCGTACTGACATTACATGATAGTAGTACAAACGGTATACCCAATACAGTTAATTGAAAATTACGTCCAACGATGAGTTAGTGTTTATAACCGCATATATACAAAAGACACATTTTGACAAAATCGCCAAATTATTTTATATTTTGTTATAAAATAAATTAATTTTAGAATCTGTTGTTACAATAGTCACTTCGAAGAAATAATACAATGCATTCAAAATTGTAATATATATATACTGTATCTTATATTATTTTAATTTCTGGCACATCTCAGCTGCTTTTCGGCAATAATAATGTAGACATAACATTTTCCTTGTACATTATATTTAAATATTATCTAGGCTCATATTTTCAGCTAAATTCAAATTTTAAGTGAACTGACATTTCTAGCAGATGACAGTTCAAATGTTTTCAATGTCAAACAATGATAAGTGATTTTTTTGTAATTTTTGCCATTTATTTCTACAATATTACTATAGTTTAAATTAGTATTAAATCTTAAAAAGTTTTTTGACAAACTCTAAAAAGAATTATCAAAAACCGTATAATCGTTTAGGAGAAGTATCAAATCATACACACGTACAGAAGAATTTTATATAATATATATATATATATATATATATATTATATTATATTATATGTAGATATACATGCGTATGTATGTATTGAGAATCCTTTCCCATTTTGCATATAGAAGTCTTTAATCCAATCCTCTGTCATCTTTAAATTGAATTACTTCGGAAAAATCTTATTTTTAATATGGGTTTAATAAAATTTTAATCATAAGATAGTTAGAAAAAAGTTCTATAGGGTGAGTTAAAAATTATTAAATAACAGAAAATGTAAAATGATAACTATTTCAAAGATTAAATATTTGTTTCATCTTTTTTGTACTATTATTAATTTTTTTTAACAATTATGTATGTATTAAATTAAAACACTTACTAAAACCCACAATATGCACCTCTTAAAAAATGCTACTATTATAGTATTAATAATTGTTTCAGTTATATTTAGGTATTTAATACCAAAATTACCACATCGCAGTACAAACATCCTGTACAGCTTATTAAAAGTATTATTAGTATCCTGTCATAGGCGCATTCTTGGAATTGTATTGTTACCAAGTATAATAAATTTCTTGTGGCTTAAAATTTAACAAGAAGACTTTTACACTTTAGTAGTAAAAGTATCATAGTAGATTCTTTTAAGTATAACATATCCAAACTCTAAGGTTGTAGTGAAAGCTGCGCTTCCTTTCAGTTCTTCGAATATGAACAATGACAATCTTATGTGAAATACACAAATTTTGAAAAAAAATATTATTTGTTGTCATAATAGTGTAATAATATATTTGAACTGAAACTTTATAATGAGGAAGGGGCGTCCCGCAGAGCTCAACAATATTAATATGTATTCGAACGGATTAACGATTCTACCCGCCTATACACTCGTTTAATCCACTCTGTTATAATTTAAAATTTTGCGACAAAACCCATTAATTTTATTAATTGTTATCATAGAAGACACTTCGAGGAATAATATATTAAAATTACAACTTTCTACTACAAACCCTTCCAAGACAAAACTAATCCTGTAATCCTTTTCTTTTTGTCTCCAAGCCACGAAACTTTAACCGTGAACTCGTGTATGTAAATTACAATTTAAGCCTATTGGCTCGTTGTTGTTTTATGCCCGTCGGCCGTAATAATAGAAGTTTTAGATATTAATATCTTGAAACGAGAACTTTCTAAAAGTGACTTTCTAAAGCAAAAGATTAAACTTTTGCCATTTCGCCCCACGAAGGAGGGGATGCTTGCGAAAGGGCACCAGACGAATAAAACAATTCCGACGAAGAAATTATCGTTAAAGACATAACGAAGGCAGAGCAGGATTATGATATAGTAGAAATATAGAAGTTTAGTATTTTATATTATGATCTCTATATTACAATTTTGTGAAAATCGTTAGAGAATTTTTTTTATATATTAACAACCAGCGTTTTAGTGGTTGTTAAAAAACATTAATCCAACGCTGTAATACGTCTTAATACTTTTGAGTTCTGCAGGACAAATTTTGAACTACACACTGTTTGCACTACAGTGTTGAATTTAAAATATTCTAAAATTGTAATAAAATTATATAGTATGCTCTCACTTTATTATGCAATATTTTGCTGCACACAAATGATTAAAATTACCAAAAATTATGTATTAATTTTGACTTATTATTTTCAGTGTGTCGACCACCTGTGAGGTTTACGGAATTGGACGGGGACAGTTCCACATATTTTGTACCTCAGGCGACAATGACGACGTCCTTTAGGGCAAAGCCAGAAATCAGGCCAATGGCGTAAAATATTTAAAAATATCATAATAAATTGATCTCAGTTGTTTTTTTTGTAACGCTTAGTAAATGAATAAAATTAATTTAATTAATGTAGTTACATTCTATCATTGAGCAATAAAAAACTTACCATTAAAGTTCAATTCCGAGGCCCTCTGCGTGCCACCTAGGTAGGTACTCGTCGAGCTGGTGGAATGCCTAGCGCTCCTCGGGGGCGCATCCATAGGATCCGCATAATAATTCACAACACTAGTATTATAACTGACACTATTCTTTCTTCTTTCCACATTAACTACATCCTCTGCAGCAACAGTGGTCACATCGACATTGGCACCTCCATTTCTCTCATCGCAATCCTTATAGTATTGGCTTAAAGTTCCGTGACTGTTGATGAGTATGTTAGGTTTTGTCGAAGCTAGAAAAGTTCTTGTAAAGGTTCCAAAGTCTGTATCGAAAGGTTCACTTAAACTACTTATTAAACGTTCTTGTTCACCTTTAGTTGTCACGTCATCACTACTTTTGCTAAACCTCCTATTCAGTTTTAACGATGACAAATCGTTGATACTGTTATTATTCACTGTTAATTTTATACTCAGATCTTGCAAACTTCCAGCACGCACTGGACTTTCTGAGCTGTCTATGATGCCTAATTTAATTTCCGTAATGTTACTACCTGTGTCATCATCCCTGCGCCTGCCTGGAACATCCAGCTCACTCATACTACTCCTGCTTTCTCTTCTGTTTTCCATCTGCTTGATGGTCAGGTTAATGTCGCAGTCACTTGGGTGCAAATAGTGCATATGGTGAGAATGGTGCATCGCATGTCTCGTGTGATGAAGATGGACAGAGTTTAAAACTATATTTGAACTCGTCCTGGATAAAGCCTTTCGTTGTCTTATCGCTTCCTTGTAAATCTTATAATACATTACAATCATCACCACACCAGGTATCCAGAACGACACGCAAGATGAATTATAGCATAATACTTGTTCACTACGAATATACAAATATCAGGATGTTTCTGCCTGTACAATTGGTGATCCGTAGTCGTGTACCATCCCAGAAATATTGGTGTAAAACTAATCAAAGCTGGTAGAAACCAAACGTTAGCCAACATGAAACAAACTGTTCTATGGGTCATCGTTATTGGATATTCCAAAGGACGTACTATAGCATAGTATCTATCCACTGATATGCAACACAGATGCAAAATGGATGCTGTCGAAAAGTATACATCCAAGGAATTCCATACATCACACATAAAATACCCAAATAGCCATCTACCACTCAGTTCCACTGAGGCATTGAAAGTCATCGCACATAGAGCAACCAACATATCAGCCATCGCTAGACTGACAACATAATAATTAGTAATCACCCTTAATTTCCTATTTCTGTGCACAGAGATGATGACTAAGGCATTGCCCAAGACAGCACTAATGATGATCGTTCCAAATATTGATCCTTTCAATGCTAAAGCAAAATTTGGATCCAGTTCTCTGAATCGACCGATGTGATGTTCTGCTTCAGACTTGCATTCGATTGGAAGTCTGCAGGGTACGGGGTGGACATGACGTTTGCTAGCATCTTTCGATGAAACCAGGATGGTTGACTATTGGTAGATATCCATAATTTTCAGAAAATAACATGTTTGAAGCAATGATACTTGAGCTGAAAATACTTACAAGCACAATATTTCATTATGCATTGAATGTTTATGTCGGTAAAAAGCGACTTAACTTATTTGAAAAAGTTTCTCAATTATCAAAGTGCTTTTATTGGTTTCGTAAATATTTCTAGATCTATAAAAAACTTTCAATTGCAATGACTTTAAATCTGCAATAATATTCAATATTTCATCCATGGTTTCTCCACTAAATAATTGTGATAGGCTTGTGATAAAGATGATACCTTACACAAAAAATAATTTGGACGATCTATAAAATCTACTGCAGCTAGTACGTTTCCACACCAAACACACCTTTTAGATAGACTATTGCCCCTAGGAATGCTTTTTTATTTTCAAACTCACTTTCTTATTTTCGGAGGTAATGTAGAATTTATTAATATTTGTTCCAAATAAACCTTTTTGCAAGTTATTATTTTGAGGGCTATTTATTTATATTGAAAAGTATTCTGGCTTTTTAGAGAGAAACATCATATATTTCTTCAGGATTAAAAATGTATTTACATTTTAGGAATATCTCAATTAGTTTCAGAGATATTCCGATATCTGTCAAAATTTGCCTCTAGATGTAGTAAATTTCAAAATTTCCGAAGGCTTTTCAATATTCTAGCACTTTGAATATTTACATATTTTTTTCGAGGAGATCCCATATGATTTATTACCACACCATCCACCAGCCCCAAATCCTTAAAATATTATACTTTGTTATATTAATTGTGAACCTTTTTATAGATCTTTTCAAAGTTTTTAATTAAATCGACAAAAAACTTCGACGACAGGTTTTCGCTCGACTTTTCCACATTTTCCGGATTTCCGCTACTCAATCGCTTCAATCGACTCTGATCTGAAAAAGTAAAATGATTTGTGTTAATTAAAAAACAGTTTCACACAAAAAGCTAAAAAGGATGAATGGAAATTGATATATTCATTATATGAAGCGAATAGGAATATGAATATATAAAGTAGTTGCTGTATTCTAAAAATTAAAAAATAGTTTTGAAGTTTTTGAAGCTAGGTGTATGATTTTTTTTAGAAATTAGATGTTTTTAATAATTATGATGTATATAGAAAAGTAAAGATTTGTATTGATTTTAATTCATAGCTTTCCATTATCAGTTTGGCCAATTATAACCGATTAGTTAATATGAAATAAAGTGTAATAGTTAATATAAAAGGCTTTACATAGTATTATTAGTGAAATGCGTTGTATACGAATTATGATAAAAATAGAAGCTCGTTTTAAGCTCAAATCACGCAAAACGCGATATTGCTCCAAAGCTGTGCTTTTAATCAGATAATATTGTGGTCGCTGTGAATTATGGACAGAAAGTTCCCGGAAAATATTTTTCCTACACCTATATAAATACATCTAGAATGTATATATATATATATATATATATATATATATATATATATATATTTCTAAACAGCAATTATTCACACGAACAAACAACGCGCGACACTAATCATGATTGTGATTCAAATCATAAGAGAAATAGTAATATATGATTTGTTCTTAAATTCTTGTAACTTTTAATGGAATCCACATTCTATAAAAATTTCAAAATTTTATGAATAATTTGAACTAAATTAATAATTAAATTCATCTTTATAGAAAAGACTTTTAATAAATAAAATTAAACCACAAAATCTAAAATTTTCCCTCAGAACACAAAATATATCCACCTCCATATTACCGTAATATATATTCATATATATATATTTGTTTACTTTTTTTAACATCGTACTCTACCTCGGCCTGAATAATTTTATAATAAAATATCATGAATATAAATAAATTGTACGATGTTTTTTTACAATTTTGTTTACGTCTTGCCTCCCTGGTCCATTAACGAATGTAAATAAATATAAAGTTCTTACTGCTGGTAAATAAGTGTTTTAATATCTCTTCAAATTTTACTTAATAAAAAATAGTTGAATTTCGCAATGTTGCTTTTACAACATCGTTTCCACCCTCGTCTCCTCTTCCTCCCTGGTTCGTTTAGTCGATTTGTTGGTTGACCTAGTTTATGGTGATGGAAAAAAGGTGAAAAAGGAGGAACCGGAGATTTTATGATCCGAAAGACGGTAAACGGATTAGTATTTATAGGTCTGATGAAATTCATATTGGAACATAGTTGTATAAAGATCTAGTTAGATGGCACACACACACACTTTATAACACACATACACACACACACACATATATATATATATATATATATATATATAAATATATATATATTACACTTTGAAATAAATTTATTAAAAAAATATGTATGACAGAGACGCTTTGCCAGGAAATCTGCAAAAGCTCGAAAGCTCCACATAAATTAAAATGAAATTCTTTTATATGTATATATATATATATATATATATATATATATATATCTCGGTTTGAATATATTTTATCAATTTATATTCTTGACAAGGGATTCCATAAAGTTATTGCCGCACGTATGGGACGTGAATCAAAAGTTGCGAAAAGATTTTGCTAAAGAATGATTTATTCGCACACATATGCATATATATAAGAAGTATAAATATTTATAGTATTTAATATAAAATCTTCTATATTTTATATAACTAAAATTTTATCTGCAGTTCAACACCGAACGTGCTTTTTCTTTATGAAATGCTTTCTAGTTCAATTCTTTTTCCATTTCTAACTTTCATGCTGAATTATTGGAAAAGTGCAGAATACTAGAATACTTTATGTCTTTTGTGTGTGAGAAATAATTCGTAAAAGTGCTTATTTCATAAAATTGAAAATTTCAAACGCAAAAGCTCACTATACACACACACACATATATATATATATATATATATATATATATATGTATATAAAAATAGTTAGATCTGGTACAGTGAAAGAACATACACTAATATAAAACTGAAACCCCCTTAAGCCTAATAAGAAAATTTCAAAATCCCATAATTCCTTTCTATTTATTCTAGACGATCTATTAAAATTCGTCCCACCGCCGTCTATTATTCCTTATATGATTTATCCTCACGCAAATATCCGATAAAACGTTTTAGGTATTCAAGGGGGCGCTCCGAGGGGCTCAAAAGGAATCCTTTTCTTTCTTTTCTTATTTATGCGAACCGAGAGAAAAAAAATAGTGCCTGTAGAAACATCTCGTAGGAAAAATGGTCCAGACTTGGAAATCGGATGGGTAATTTATTTTCTGCATATGTAAATGCTTTCAGAGAGGCACAGACTGGAATATGGTAAAAAAGCAGAGCGTTCAAAGCGCTTGTGTTACAGAAATATTTGCCCAATTAATTTTTTTTCAAGATAGGTGAAGGTATACTGAACATTTTTCTGTTAAATAACATTGCTGCACTGATATTTTTAATGAGCTCTAAAGAACGCACTGCTTGTACTACATAAATTTAATTTTATTATGTTATTTGTACCCTTTCCACTCGTATGCCGCCGCTCCGGCTGTAAAATATATATCAATCTCGCAATTCCCGAGTGGCAGGAGTTAAAAGTATCTACAGCGAAGACAAATGCTTAATTGATAAGTTTTTTCTAAAATTCGAGCATTTACATTTGAAATATTACATTTTTTCAATACATATTAGAATACAAATACTAATAATAAATAACATCTAGATTATTATAGGCTGAGTATATTATTTTTATTTGTGTCTATTACAATAGAAAATACTAAAGTTGATGTTTTTTAACAAATCTTCGTTATGAAGGACTTTTTCAAAATTTGCTCCACGTATAAACAGTAATCTCTGTAGTTTAGAATAAACAGTAATCTCAGCAAAGCTGTAGTTTAAATATGAAATAGTGCTAAAAGTTCATTTTTACTGCTATAATTCTTTATCCCGTTGTAAATCAAATCTTTTGAGCTTTTTGAAAAGCGAATCGTTTACATCCCAAAGCGTTTTCATAGCGGTCAGACGTTTCGCTTTGATGTCGGAACATAGAAAAGCGCAAATAATATGCATATTTTATATAATACCTATAATAACAAATTTTTCTGGCAAAGAAAAATAACAGAGTTATTTCCACGAAATGTCTATTTTTACATCGCATTTCGAATAACTTTGTGTGCGAGAGCAGAACATTTTTCGAACGAGCGATTTTAGCTAATTAGAAATTTTTCGGTTCACCAAATATATCGATTGATTCGATATAGTTCGAGTTTTAAATTAAAATAGTGGTGAAAGACCCGAAGTGCATGTAGAAAGAAGAAATGTATATTACATATTTGCTTGACATTGATTTTGATGTTAATTTGAATATTGTGTTAAAGTTATTATCGCAGAGATGATACTAATGTAAGAGACTACGAGTTCGATGCGACCGAGCTCGAAAGTCCAACCAAACCAAAAATTTGGTGCACAAAACAAGCCCATGTCCCATTCTCCACTTTATATATTTAATAAAGAAAATTGATGATACATAATACAAATTATTATTGCTACATTAGTAATTAATGACTACTTACTAATTATACAGCAGGACCGAATCGATTAGGACAATTTGATTTTGAGAGTCTATAGGAGGTTTTTAAAACGATTTTTAGGCCATGGTAAAAATTGATCATTAGCAGAAGCAGAATCAATGATTATAATATATTTTAAAACACACACACATACTATAACATATATATATATATATATATATATATAATATATATATTATAGTATTGAATTTGAAAGCAGAAATCTCGAATGAATTAAATATAACCCGAGATGTAAATTACAATTTTATGAATACACACTCCACCTCCATAATTCATTCATAATTCATATCCCACTTCCTTCCGCTTCTCCCTTCATTTCATCCCCGTACCAAGCATTTTTCCATTTTTCTCTTATCTCATTGTAAATACAAACGCCAGGGCAGATGTTTTCCTTAAAAATTGTGAAA